ATTTCTGATCTTCATCTATTACGGAGTATTAGAAGATTTTGATACTTTTTGAAGTTCATCAGCAGTCATGACTTATTGAATCTTCTTTGAGATGTTTACAACATATTTTCCTGGAAAATCGTTAATTCAAATAAACTTTTGTAATCTTAATAATTCAATTACTGTTACCTGTCATATTAGTTTTAAATAGAGAGAATATCAGAAGTATACAAATGCAAAAATATGCATGATCAATTTTATGAATCTTCTTGAAGAAGTTTCTTGGGCAATTTACAAATAGAGTTTGAGTAAATTGAAGCTAATACTGATGTGTACAAGTTAGCAAAACTCAAGTTTTCATCATTGATTTCTTGAAAGACTAAATGTCAGGGATAGAAGCCCTCCTACCATTTTTAATTCCACAAGAAGAACTTTCATTTAAAAAAAATAAAAAAGCAGAATTTAAAAACAATTAAACTTGTCTTTTAATAGTGGTTGTATGTCTTAGCTAAATTTTGACATAAACATTGAAATAGCTTTTGAACAATTCTATGTTAAGTGCTAACATTTTCACAAGGAACTACAAGGAATTATACACCTATTGTGCGAACTTTTTAGTCAGATTCTTTTCTCTTGATAACAGATAGTTTCTTAGTTGAAGTCGAGCTTTGCCAAATATAGATTGATATGCAATACTACCCGTAGTAGTTAATGTTATAAGTGCATTTCATTCAAAATCCATTTAAAAGAAGCAAGCTTCCTAGATACTCTACTAGATACTCGAGAAAAAACAACTTGAAACTATATAAATGATTGATATGTAAAATAAATGTCATTCACTGCTTCACCTTAGAAAGCTTACGCAATATTTTTTTTATCCCATCTAGCGCTGAACTAAAAACTAAAAGAATGTTATATCTTATACTATGAAATTGAAGATCGTGAATAATGTTTCAGTTTAATTATTTCAAAACAAATGATTATTATGTTGCAATAAGGTTAAAATTTACTTCAGTATTATTCGCTCGGTTTATTGAACTGTGCAGGTCTCCCTATATTTTGGGTTCGTGTTTATATTGCGTTTGATGGCTATTGATAATTATGTTTTATTGTAAATGCAGTCAAAGACACTATATGAGTAGAGTCAACTCATCTATATAGAAAAAAAAAAGAAATCAAGTCTTAGAATAAAGTAAATATTTCGATCATTTTTTAGTATTAATACATTTATCAATACTTTTAATCACAGATGTATATTGACAATTGAAAATGTATTCATTTCAAAATCATTACTGATGAGCAGCTGTTTAATAAAAAAATGATTTTGTGATAAAAATCACTATGCGCGTGCAATTTGTCATACACCATAATAATATCAATGATTCACTTCACTGATCAACTTTACAGATGTGCTCAAAAGTTACACAAAAAGTTCATGCCTACTAGAAACATCACGAGAGTGTAATTTTACTATAGAATTTTTGATTCATTTTTAAAATAAGTTTTAGATAGACAAGTGAGTTATTTATGGAAATAATTACTCAATTGAAAATTATCTTGTTAACGTATATTTCTTTTTCTTCTATGGTTTCCATAAATTTTATCTTAATTTTTTTTTCATTTCTTTTAGTAATTGTTTCAAATGAATTGAGAATATTCTATCTCAAACATTTCCGATATCGCTTTGTAATATTTTGAGCACTGATTATGTAATAACTTCCTTTATCTTATGTCACAATATATCAATTGATCAAATTATAGTATATATTATTTTTTCCAAATCAAACAAGTTAGCTGTCAATATGATTTCGATACGACTAACAAATTCTCATTGACATCGTATTGTTAAGCAAATTTATAGAATACAATCTTGTTTCGTTCACTTATTAATGAAAGTAACGGTTCAGTTTGCCTAATGCTTTTTCTCTGATTGCCCATGAATTGAAACAAAAAAAAGAAAAGAACGGCAGCCAGACAGTCAGACTGTGATAGCGCTACTTCACCGCCTTCTTCTTTTGTTTCTCTGTCATTAAAATAGCCCAGTAATCCGTTTGAAAATACTAATAATGGTCACAATTGATGTCGTCAGTTGTAAACGATAAGCAAAGCGGAAAAGATAATAAATGATGCCACCTTAGTCTCTTCCATTGAGTATGGTTGACAAATTAGTCAACATATAATTGAACTGTAGATTAACTGTTAACAACATAAAACAATATAAATATATATATTTGTTTAACCAACACTATACATTTGACATGAACGCTTCATCTTCTGCTTCGTTCAATATTTGCTTATCAAACTTGATGCATCTTAAACAAAAAGTCAAAGTAATTCGAAGAAAATTTCATCTGAAATTGGATGAGCATGTTTACAAGACACATGTCGGACATTCGACCTAATCATTTTTCATGCAGGTGTAGTGAAAAAGAAAAAAGCTTTAATAAAATCATGAGATTATTTGAATAACGAGCATTTATTGCATCATGCTTATTTGTTGGTGTAAGTATTCTCAAGAGTCTCGTACATTCATTTTGTGTGTCGAAATGAGCAACAGAGCATGAACGAAAGGTTAATCAATGTGGCACCAGAAGTTGCAGAGAATATGGTACGCACGCACGAACGGCTATTGTTCATACAGATGAACTTTCTCACTAGCATTCACTGACTTATTTTAATGAGTATACCTTTCTCTCTAGTACACATAGCATACGTTGAAAAAAAACGAGAAAAAAAAACAGAAAAGAAACTATATTCATATGTACGTATGTCCATTTTCTCGTATGGTAATCTTCTATTTGGAAATGACACCTTTCTTTTTCTTTCTCTCACCATCTCAGCACTAGTCTAGAATAGTTATCATATGTCTACATATGAATGCGTGTGTAGAGTTTATTGTTGATAGTATCATTATTTCTCATGGTGATATATGATAGACAGAGGCACTTGAGTGAGATGATGATTTGCTTCGACGAGCATAAATGAGATTCACTTCTATAAATCGATTCGATCATTATCAATTTTTTTTCTAACATTAATCGATCATTATCAATTTTTTTCTAACATTAGTCGATCATGAACTTGTTTTCAGTTTTTTTTGAGTAATATATTTATATTACAATTATAGCTCGCTTTCTTTACCTTGGAACATATATCATTACTAATTTCTTTATTATCAACAGTCTCGTGCCTCTTAATCAAACCTTGGCATAAGTTATGCTTATAAACATTTGTTTGTTCAAATATACATACTCAACAGCTTGTACAGCCTAAAAGCTGCATCAGCTTGCACATATTCTATCGATATAGAAAAAAAGAAGTATAAGGAAGGACAAAAGTGATTATCATTTTCTATTTGATTATAGATTGACAGTTAACTGTTTATCGTTGATCAACAGATCACTGCTGGATTGTTGTCGACAATACAAATATCTCTTTCTATATATATATATATATATAGAAAAAGAGATACTTGAGAAATCAAAATAGCAAATAGCAGTATATATATATATCTATATACGAGTGTAAATTAATCGTCACTAAAGAAAAAAAAAATGTGCGGATAAACGAGTGTGAAAACGGCTATTGCTTCAATAGCACTTTTTCTTTTCGCTACTTTTTAAATGACTTTGATTTCTTTTCTTTTTTCTTCTTCTCTTTTTTTGTAAGCACATCTGTTCAGCGACAAGGTGTGACGGATGACTTTTTAGAATTAATACCATCTCATCCATTCGTTCGTGCATTCTTTTTTTTCTGTCTTTTTTTCTTTTCTCTTTCCCCTTCGTGCGCTTTCTTGCACCAACACACAACAAATGACATTATTATATGGGCATTTCACAGTCTACTCGCAATGTGCATAAACTATATCTGTGCTCAATATTGTGCATGTACATATAATGCTATCTTATATCTATCTTTCTTAGTACTATGTGTTTATAACAGTAACAGTTGAGTCTTGTCCCTATGTAAACACTAGCACAAATCCGTCCCACTAAGAAGAAAAAGATGAAGACTAGCGCTTATTGAGGTAATCATTCGACAGAAGTGCGAGGAAGGAGAGATTAACTTACTGATCTCTATCTCAATTGCTATCCTGTTCGCTTTAAATAAGCTATTTGTTGTGCATGTATATGTTTATGCATCACACTCCTCCTAGTCTTCTTTAAGAACGAAGTAAGTATTCGAATTATATTCCATATTGTGTAATAAATATTAAGTGAGAGTTATATCCCGCTTGGTTGACTAGCGAATATTGACCAATATGGCACTGATAAGAAAAACTCAATAATCATCTCTTATTTTTCGATCAGATGTTGTGTAAGACACAGAGAACTATTCTGTACAGTCACACATATGCACACTTTTTTCTTCTCTCTATTCTGCATGGTAGATTGGAGAGTCATCACTTTATTACTAGAGGCGTTTGTGGCGGCACACGTGTATACTGTCTTCTACAGCTCTTATCACCATATTGAGTGAATAAGAGGAAACGTGTGTGTGTGTGTGAGTGTAAGCGCAAAGGCCAATTTACACCGTATCAATGTTCACTTGCTGTTGTCATTGTCATATTCGTTGATGTTTGCTAATTTTGTCATTTGACAATGATTTCACATTTGATTCTGATTATAAACAAAGAATAAGTGTATGTATATGAGTAGAAATCAGATTATATCTTCCTTTCGCTTTTTTCTCTCTCTTTCCATGCGTCAATATCTAATCTGTCAAGGTAGCCGAGTAAATCAAGCCAATTCTCTCGTAATGTGTCAGCGAAGGTTTTACGTCTTGTCTCTCATTGTTATATCTCTAACTTTTGTTTTATATATGCACATTTTGGAAGGACACGATATGAGTTACACATACACACAAATCTGCACTACGAGAGCGATTGTATATTGAGCGCGTGCGTGTATGCATATGATAGAATCGCCGCACACACGCATATACATACAGATGTTAATCGGAGGACGCCTTTCGATCGCCATTTGTTTGTTCATTTACTTTTCTTTTTTAGTTTATTCAACATGACTGCCACTTATCGTCTACAACTGCCGCTACTCATCATCACATATGTCATATTCTCATCCACAATAGAAGTTGTTAACGCTATTGAATACGGTAAAAAAAATCTATGCGATTTGTTCTTATCTAAAACGATTTTGATTATTTCTTCTTTTTTCAAACTATTAGCTAGTCCAAAAATAAATCAAAAAATCCTTATTGGACCAAGCGATATCACTACGTATCCGGGCGAAACAATTCAATTTCCGTGTATTGTTTCAAAACAACCCGATGCTATTGTAACATGGTGTTGGAATGATTTTTGTACACTCGGTAAAACGCAATTAATTTCAAATGAAACAACACAAGATGGTTTAATACGTATTTTTCAATATACTGGTTATCCGAGATTTCAATTATCTATTAATGAACGACTGCGTACGTATTCGATTATTGTTCTTCCTCTAGAAAATATCTATGATTTAGGTTTTTTATTTCAATTTCTTCCGGAAATTTTATTTTTCTTCTGAGCATCGCCTATTGAAATATGACCAGCATGAGTAGAATACGTCGTTCTACCACCTAGTGTGTACATGTAATGAAAAAGTAACACACTGTCGTTTCTTCTATCGTTTTACCGGAAGAACACATTATTCTTGATTATAGTCACTATTCTTTCTGTCTGGTTTCTAATTATTGCATCGAAGTTTTCTTTTCGTCTCATCTCGTTGACCCGTCATTTCCATTGTTGTCTTCTCAGGAGAGCAATTCAAGAAATGGACAGGAAGTTTTTGACAAAAATGGACGACTAACTAGTTAGACATTTCATATGCATATATATATATATGTATGTCTCTATTGTTTTCATCAGGAAATTGAATATAGTAATGTTTAGTAAAAAAGAAAGAAAGTGCCTGTGCATGATCAATATTTGATTGACTTTTTCCATGTAATCTGTCCGGAAGCAACAAGTAGAGAAAGAATCTATGATATAATCTATGCAGACATAGATTATGCTTCAATAAGATAAACGATTTCGTCATTTTATTTTATTTTTTGATATTTAGATCACTATAATTTGTCAATTGTTCATGTATCAAATAAAGACGAAGGGATATTTCAATGTCAAGTACAGAGAACAATGAATGCCCATGAAGCACGTTCAGAACGTGTTCATTTAATTCTTATTGGTAAGAAAGATACTTGAGACGGGTTATTTTAGTCTATTGACTTTCTTTCTTTTCGTTTTCTTTTTCCTATTAGCTCCTCCAAATGGTCAACCTACATTATTACTACCACATATGCCATTAAAACAAGGTCAATCAGTCAATATAACTTGTTTGTCGGCTCCATCAAAGCCGGCATCAAAATTAATGTTATATAAAAATGAACAAATAATAGCAAAAAAGACGTCATTAATGCATTTCTATGAATTTGATATGAAAACAAAAAAAAATTTAACAAAATTAGTTTACAATATCGATGATCTAGATGGTGATTGGGATAATGCTCGTGTTCGATGTGAACAAATCTATCAATATGCCGATAATTTTCAGAAAGATGTTTCAACAAGAATACAAGTGCAATGTAAATTTTACTATTTGATGTGAACTGAAATATATAGATATGTGTTCTAAGTGAATTATTTGAAGTGTTTCATGAGTTATAAATCGATATTAACAATGAAAGTCGATCTGGATGAGAGAAAGAGAGAGGGAGGAGCGAAATCATTCGCAAGACAAAATTGGATTAAAATATACTCTCATTCATTAATCGAGAAAGATAAGTTGTAAGAAGTATTCGCATGCTTTTTCGTCCGATCTATGTTCAGAACTACCTGTACAATGACTTTATGTCTGGCAGCGATTTCCCTCGATTTTATTTCTATATATTGGTTTAGATAAACCAAAAGCTCGTATTGAATCTCAAAATCGTCATTCATTATCAATTAATTCAACAGCAACTTTTCGTTGTATTGTTCATGGCAATCCTGAACCTCAATTAAGGTAAATGATAAGACATTATTGAAAAGTAGTTTTCTATCGAATAAAAAACAAAAATCTCTAATAGATGGTTTGCTAATGCAATGGATTTAACATCAATAACAAGTTCTGTAATAAATATTCCATTGTCAAGACATGTACATAATCATTCAATCGGCTGTACAGCAACAAATTCAATTGGTACAACTAATACAAGCCTTCGATTAATAATTCGATGTATGTTTAGAAAAGCGTTGAATCAAAAAACAAAAAAAGAATTCTTTTTCTTAAATATTTTAATAACTATTTAATAGATCCTCCAACATTCGTTATTCGTCCACCAAAGTTTGTTGTTGTTGATTTTGACAATAAATCACCATCATCAAAACCAATGATACTTCGTTGTGTGGTGGATTCATTTCCTCGTTCAGCAATATCATGGTTTCGTTATGGACATAAAATAGCAGAAGGTTCAACGTTTAATCTCGAAAATATAACCACACGAGAACAGCAAGGACTCTATTCATATCGAATTGAAACCAGTGGTTTTGAAACAATTCATGCAGATTTCATAATTTACATTAAAGGTATTTTGATTTGAAATAGAATAAAAAGAAAATATTTTTCTTTCTTAGGTAAACCATTGATTTATATTCAAGAATCCAGACAATATCGTTCATCAAATAATCGCGAATTTGAATGTCAAGTTTATTCATCAACTTCGATTCTTGTATTTAAATTTGAATTCAATTTCATATTCAATTTATTATGTGTTTTTTGATTTTGTTTACTCTAGAGAATAAGTTGGAAATTAAATGGTCAATCCATTGAATCAAATGATCAATCATTAATATCAACAATATGTGATGAAAACAGTTGTTTATCAAAGCTAACGTATAATAATAGAAAAATAGTTTCATCAACAAATAATATTAATCGTTTATCGTGTATTGCTGAAAATGAATACGGATATGAACAAAGTCGTCTCTATCAAATTGATTTCTTCGAAGATCAATCAACAACTTTAATATCGATTATTTTAAGTATATTTATCCTTCTAATTATTTTATCGATTGCTGCGATCTATTGTGGTTGTCGTGTTCGACGCAGTAGAAAAAGTTCAAGTAAAACAAGTCTATTCTTGTATCAATTTCTATGAAAAGAAAAATTTTCTTTTTAGTGAAAAATCTTCCAATTGTTTATGATGCACATTATTCAATAAATGAATTAATCAAAGATGTTACGTCTTTACAAGCATCTGACGGACGTTTACGTAAAACAACATTTAATGATAATGATAGATTATCATTAACATTAGAACAAAATAAAATAGAACCAACAGGTTTTTTCATTTTCATCTTGTATTTTTCTTTAATTAAAGTTTTCAATTTAGATAATTTGATGACATCATTATTCAATAATAATCGTACAAAAAAACTAATGGATAATTTATCGAATGAATCATCAACAAATAGTTCTGGTTTTCATTCAAAATCTACAACAACAACGTTTAATAATAATAATGAATATAGTCCTAGATTTGCTGAAATAACGGATTATACATTTTCAGGTATGAACAAAAAAGAAATGATTTTACTCGAATGCATGAGTAAGAATTCGACAAGACAAAAAATGAGATGACCATTTGAATCATTCCTATTTCTGTTTTTGCTAAAGTCGTATTATTGTATCGACCAATAGATTAAAACTTTACAAAAGTTTCTCAAGTTCCACTGATCTAAATCTGGAGATACGATGCCGAAAAACATCAACGTTGAAATCTTTAAGCAACAAATTCTAGATTCAAATATCGTCACTGTCAAACTAGAAGCATTCAAAAATAAACCTTTATATTTCCTTTGTTAAAACCATCAAACGTGTAAAACTTACTTTACAAGTCTGTTGCCAATGATAGCTTTCATTCTTCTCTAGTTTTCATGTTGTCATTTTCATTTGAGTATACTAAGTTTAAAAATTTACCTTCTTTTGGATGCAGATTTTTTTTAAAATCCATTTTCATTACTAAGTATATAATATATCTGAACAAAAAAAATCAAAGTATTCTTATTTTTTTAATTTTTTAGGTATAACTCCATTATATACATCACAATATCAAATGAATGTGTGATAAATACTTTCTTTTTCTTTTCTTTTGTCAGATGTATTTTATTTGTTTAATTTGACTTTCTTCTTTTTAATGTTTTGTTTTGTTTTGTGTTTGATGCTAATAAGATTTGATTAGATCTATTGTCATCAATCACAGTGAATAGAAGACGATCACGTATTATTTTAAATATTGTACATTAACTAATATTTAATATAATGAAAATTTCATACATAAATGGCCATGCGTTTTCTAAAAATATTCGATAAAGACACGGCTATACCAATACGATTACTGAATAGAACGAAGTGTGCTGCAAGAAATAGATTTCGATACACATTTTAATAAATTTCAACTAAAGTGATATTGACTGGAATATCTTAAATTCTAGTAAACTACTTAAGCCACCATTTTAATAGTGAAATAAAAAAAACAAATTGCTCTCAGGGTTTTGGGAGCATAATTGATTCTAATGAAACCGTTAAAGTTTAACTTCTATATGAATATACGTATATATATGTATTGATTTCTACTAATTTGAAATTAAAAAAACATTATTTAAAAAAAGAAATTAAATTGTCTATCTATTTATCATATCCATCATTAATACAGACTTAAATCAACAGGAATATAGCTCAAAATTCTATGTTGCATAAATTTGAATTGCTATTCTTCATATAATATCGTTTTGGTGTCGTAACTATGCATAGAGTATTGAATATTTTTCTATATCCAACTATCGTTCTGCTACTGATAACGATCGAAACGACAATGTCCATGATGAGAATGCCGGATGCATTATTCGAGTGTATTTTTCGAGGTTACATTGATGTTTCTGGTCGATAAGAGAAAAGACAACACTGCAGTGATTATCAATCATGATAATATCAAAGTAGATTATGTAGAAAAATAGACTTGTTTATCAATTAAATTCAATATTATGCAAGATGAATTCATTAAATCAGTCGATAAACATGATATAGATTTGTTTTATGAAAAATTATTAAAAGAATAAAATGAATTAGAAACAATAAGAAAAGTATCAATATCATATGTGTAGTTATTAGAACTGAAATCAAGAGCTGAAAGGAAAAAAAACTTTCTTTGATCTACAAACAGAAGTAAGACTGATCATTTGTTAAATATTCAATAAGGTTAAAAAAAGACTCTTTCTTATCAACGATTTTTAGCTTAACGTATTTTTTGTTAGTATAATAGAACATTAGAAGACCTCTGAACTCCACATTTTAGTCTCTATGAGACTGTGCTGAAAAGATTTTTCATTGAAATACAAGGATTATAATTTGTTATCATTCATGAAGCGATATATATATGTGCGCTATTCATTGCAAAACAATAAAAATTACAACGTAATAATAATTAGCATTTCAACTGTTAGTCTAATCGACGATCTAACTTAACAGATCAGATGAGTATAGTAAAAATATGTTTTGTATGACTACAATAGTTGTGTTTTATACAACGCAATTGTTTGCATTTGATATCAAGCAAATGTTTTATTTAGACTTTAGAACTAAAGCCCTATATTTTGACAATATTTTCGAGTTGTATTAACAATAAAAGAAATGCTCCTAGTAATTTTTCTTAAATTGACACATGATGAAATATCAATAATATCCTTTAGAATAGAGACAATTATTTTTCTTCTTTTTTCTTCGGTATTTTTATTTTCGTCATTTTTGCCCTATTTTATATATTCCAAAATATACATATATGCAAAAATATCAAATTGTTCATATTAATTTTAATGATATTCATGCTTATGATATTAGTTATTGACTTCTATTCTTATGATATTTTTACGAGAGACCTTGCCGATTATTCTGACTTAATTGAAATAATACAGATCAGGATTTACTTCTTTTACAAATATTGAATACATGCTCAAAGAAAAGCACGTATAGTCAACATGATGTGTTTTATCGTATTCTGAACATCGATTCATATAGCCATTGATGATTTATAAAAAAGATTTCTATTGTAAGAAATTCATAAATGACCGACAAAACTATTTTAGCTACTATTGAACTACTGTTCACATAATTGTTGACAATCGAATAAACTGTAAAGAGACATTGGTGACAAAAAATATTTAGAAAACAAATGTATATAAACTAATGATTTCAACAGTCACCTACATAGGTTGCTCTCATTGATTAAGTCTAACAAAAATATGTAAATATAACGTATCAGAAAGTAATACAAAATGTATGCAATGAGAGCGACATAGTTAATCAGTTGTGTTTCAAAATAAATTAAACTAAAAGGTTCGAAGTTAAAAATGACACTATTCATTTCAACATCGTTAGATTTCTGAATTTAAGTTTATCTGTAATCTTTCATTTGATAATTATAAAACACTACTCATAATAACAAATCAATAGTGTATATGACATCCTTAAATTGATTCATAATTGACGTGCCAGAAAAATTATTTTATACATATTTCATACAGAAAAAAGCTTGTCAGCGCAGCCCCGGTGGGGCTAAAATGTGGAACTCACATATTTCGGTCAGTTAGATACTGACCAAATAGAAGTTTTATTTTTTCAGTGTAGTGAGATCATATTTTGTTCGAACATAAGATAATAAAACCTTTTTAACATTTGAAGTTTATTGGATCTATCAATAGGGAATATTACTAGAGAGAACGTATGAAAAACTTTTTGTTTAGAATATGTCAGTATGCTGAAGTGTTTAGTGGTTTCATTGAGAAATATTGTGAATGATAATAGTTCAAACAGTATTTATGATATAGCTGTCAATATTGTTGAGAAATTTATATTTTTTCGTATTACCAGGTGAGAAATCGATACATTTTTTCATAAACGAAAATTTGATAAAAGCTTCGCAGTGGATGGAAAACTTCCGAATTGTAAATACACTAAAGTGGGCTCGAGCCCTAAAATAAGGTATTCGTGTGAGAAAAAAAAAAGAATTAAAATCTTCATCTGTTTATTGTAGGTGGTAGAAGTAACGAATGTAATAGTAGCATAAACTAGTTACTAGCGTCTGTAGCGGCAGCATACACTCGTTACTAACGTCTGTAATAATAAAAATATATAATACTGTCGTAACTATCGACTATAATAATAAAAACGACAGATTTTGATGACCAATTAAAGATTAAATCCTAATTATAATGAATTCTAATTAGTAAAACTAGATTTTTATTACTGATGTGAGTAGTGGTGAACATAGGCAATCGACCTGTACCAAAAACGTTTCTAATTAGTGCATCTAACGTAAGTGTTAGTTTTTTATGTTTTATGTCTGTAACGGGGAGGAGGGTACAGGGGAGCCGCAAAACCTAACCATTCAACTTACACTCACTATTTTCTTCGAAAATATATGTAGGTTCCACAAAATAAATCAAATAAATTTATTCAATTCTGAAACTACTTAACATCTGATAAGTCGCTCGACCAAATCTGAATAAAGTTGATAAACAATTTATTGGTTTAATCTTACCCATATCATAAAAACTGGATGGAAATCGGCGGTTAACCATGGTTTTACTGGTCCGCTTACCGACTCCCATCAGTGAAAATTTACCGGAATTTACTGCGGTAAACCGCCGGTTTCGATTAATACCACGGTTACTGCTAAAAAAAAAGTGGTTAACAGGTTCGTCCATAATCATTGACAAAAAAGCGTTCCAAATCATCAATTAAGTTATGTTAAACATTCTTTTTTTTACTTTTACATATGATAAACATGCTCAAAAAAACGCCAGTTTACCGCGGTTTTACCGGTCCGGTTACCGGCTCCCATATCAGTGTAATTTATCGTAGGAAGAATAAATACCGCAGTTTACCGCAAAAAATGATCCGGCATTAGCAGCATGGGTACGAATACTTACTATTGCAGAAGGTTTTCATAGCGATAAGAGATCTGAGCAAGAAAAATGTTTCACGAAGATGTCAGGGTATTGCGTGTGGATATAGGTTTGAACAAACTATTCTCATCCACACTGACACCTACTCCGACAACATTTATGAAATGAATGTAGGCAAGTAGCCAAAATACCATAATAGAAAATAAATATTTGCTTTATATTTAAGCAAACAAAAATGCCTATAAGATAGGTGAATGCAAAATCATTTTTGTAATAAGATTCATTTTTTCTATGTATACACCAGTAAAAGCCTTCAAAACATGTAAAAATTCAATAACAAGAAACAACAGATAAATAAATAAATACTTATTCTATCTAATATTAAAGAACGAATTATGTTTTCAATATTTATTGAAATTAAAATCAATGCACACATGACCGATATTCTACTAAAATAATTTGGTGATGAATATGAAATGAAAGTAGCCAAATGCATCCGAAAATATGAGCATTGAAGCAGCTTTTTACATGAGAGACAAAGAAATTGTGCAACATTTTTCTCTAAATACGAACAAACAATAGAGTAGCAAAAAACCGTCAGAATCGAGACGGAACAAAATGTCGTCTCGATATATTATCGATATATCAGTTAATTTAATAATTTTTGGCATAAAGAAAAACATATTGTAACGATTTCTGATAGAAGAGATACCTGTGCTGATGGTATTACACTTTATTCAACTCTTCAAATCATAAATCGCACCGATTACATATAAAACGCATGGTTAAATACTCAATCATTTGATAGAACGAAGGAGAATGAGAGATAAAGACAAATATCAAGGGCAGAAAGATAAAGGCAATATATGTGATGAGAATAAATGGCACATTAAGGCCAAATACCATGCACAGACCACACTCGAACGGGAGCGTTACACTCCCGCGTGGAATTTAGACGCTTTCCGCATTTATCGTTACACATATTTCGAGGCAAGAATCGAGATCCACTTAAAGTTGTATCATCGCTAACTAGTTCAATGATGAAATCAACAGAAGCGAATTATATTTGTTTAGCTGATATTGGCAAAAGATCATTAAAACTATGTGATGGTGTATTATTTTAAGTTATAGTATTTTAGAAAGGAATACGAATAAAAGTATTTCTTACTATAGAGTCTAGAAATTTGCAAATGACTTGAAAACAATCGACAGTATAGATCTAGTTGTCGAGTCTATTCCCTTGATATTTATTGCATATCAAAAAGAGAAGTACAACTAAGATTTCATACTCACTTTAATCAATTTAATATTACACAAGTAGAGGGCTATATAGAATATCGAAATTCATTAAAACCGCAACTGAAATGTAGCTATCATGTTTTAACCGTAGAACTTGTATATCTTGTTGCAATGGAATTATAAAGTCGTTCCCAGTTTCCACGGCATCTGTTTTTCTTCCCTGTACTGTGCTTAGTATTGCTTCAATATCTTTTAGTTTGTTTTATCAGTCTTTCGCGCATTGTGTTTCTGGATGAATATTTGAGTTTGAGCTTTATAAAGTCTGCATTTGAACTATTATGCACCCTGAAACCTCAAAAACTGAATTGAATCAATGATTCTTCATTCGTTTCAACAAAATAGGCCTAACATATTGAACAATCTCATATCGGTTACTATCTATATTTATCATCAATGAATGATAATAAAAACACGGGCTAATAAAAATGTGAAATCTTTATTATCATCTAATTACTAAAATATTGATTTGTAACAACGATAAAAATTGTTTAGTAAATAAAAATTCAAAGAATAGAAATTTTAACATTTAGACTATTTTCAGCTGATTTGATTTAATATTGAATATTTCCTAGTCATATTCACAACCCCACTTGATGAGATTATCTAGCCATCTGTTTCGTAATATCACTAACAACTGATTGTTTTCGTTTTCATAAATTCTAATCTAGTTAACATTGGATAGATGTTAGCAGAAAACTCTCATTAATGTCCATTCTACACAGGTATGGTCACCCGGATTGTATTCATGTTGTAGAATTCTATAACCAGCTGTCCAGAATTGAGCAAACATTTTCTGATGCAGTATCGCATGGTATATATCACGATTCCACCAATGTGACTCGAAAGATATTTGATATGGTAGACTAGTTTTATTCGTTTGGCAGAGTAAGTCAGAGAATACCGAATATTCTCCTCCTTCGATATCCATCTTAAGAATGTGAACTTCGTCGTGTTTATTTTCGGTCAATATTGTGTCAAAACGTTTGAAAAGTGATTCATTGTTGAATATGATATTTTCTTTTTGAGTATTGTAAGGATACATAAATTTTTGCAACTTTGACGTATCACCTAAACAAATTTGATGATAAGTCATTCGTTCAGTCTTTCCTCCTGGCGGTGGACTCGTGCAATCATATGTGTGAACTTCGCAGGATGTTTTTTTTTAACAAGTCCCATTCAAAATTAAAATCGCCAGAAGAACCCAAACTATATACGATACACTTAGTAAGCGGGGTGAAAATTTCAATTCCACATATTATCTTATTACCGTCATGAATACCACCGATACGAGTCAGATTATTTTTGTAAGGACACGGCAACGGTAATGATGGTGGATATGCAAGATGAACTATGCCACCACCCCAATCTCCGATTTGAAGTGCATAGTTTTTCAAAATTTCGTATGTAGTGAGTAGCTGACTGCGTTGCCATGCAACCCATTTAAGTTCTAAAGCAAGTACTACACTTTGATTATAGGGTTTTAGAAATGGATTAGCAGTACACCATCGAAGGTTGGGCGATAAAATCGATCGCAAATAACCAGAAGAATCAATGAATGCAGCTTTATGTTCACTGTAACCAACGAGACGATTTTTCCATGCAATAAGTTGAACAGTAGGATTCTTCCATATAAGTTTGGGTGCCAATAGAATCAAAACCCCGCTAATAATAAGTGCAATAGTGTAAAAGCGCCACGAACGACCGATGGTAGACTTTTCATTTAATTCAGAGTATCTAATATTTTTTGAAACCAATCGTGGCATTTTTGACGCGCAGTTCACCAGTTTATAGAACAGACACAAATATCATAAAATTTCACAGTACGTGTTCGAAGCTATATCTTTAAGTATAAGTGAATAAATAGATAATTAGGCACGTTTAAAAAAATCTTATTTCCTAATTTACTCGCATTACAAAGTTGTAAAATAGTCTATGACTTCGACTGATTCAGACAGAACATTCTTTGATTTAGCGGGTAGATGAGAAATACTCAATTCTCTATTCTTCTTCTGTAAGAGAATTAGACAAATATTGCATCGATTAATCAACAAAAACATTCTCAAAATGAAAATTTCTCAAGAATTCATAGAAGGATATGTCATCATATTCACCTATACTAAATCAAAAGCATAAAAAACTGAAGCTGCATCATCAGAAAAATAATCGAATCGGAAGGGGTAATGAATTGGATAAACGCAGAAGGCTCGTTTTCTATAAAAAAAAGTTGCCCTGTAGAATGTTTTTGCTATGTAGGATGTGGGATGATTTTTGCTTTCCTCTCATCCGAGAAATTAGGCCATTACGTAAATTTTTGAATAACATGCACTCTAAAAATAGTAAATAACACACCGAGCTGAAAAGGGTTCTTCTGGCGAGCAGACAGGAAACACCTTGTTTTAGAGTGCATATACGAAACTGTTCTCGCACACATTTCTATTTCAATTGGTAACGATAAAAGAACTATAGATATATGTATTTGAATTGTGCATAAGTTGTATAGAAGTTACACTAATTGACGAAGTTGCAAGGTCATCGACTGGTTTAACTTCAATAAAACACAAATATGTGCATTAATGTATATCATTGATGGTTCTATGTGAACAGAAAGGAAAGAAAATTTATTTATGACATGAACAGAATTTTTCTGTTTGAAATGAATATTTATCTCACCGATCTAAATTTCAGTTCACTACTCTTAAAATATAGTCTTTTCTTGATATTGCGATCAAATCATGGCGCATTGTTTTAGCTTAGAGTCTTAGCCTAAGACTGTAACCAACAAAAAGAGAATTGGATGTACATTCTTGATAAATATGACTATTCTTCAGTTTATGATCGAAAAAAAAGTATTATTTCTCTTCTCATCCACTCTTTTTGCTGAACATGGAGTGAGAGGGGATCCTCTCGATTGGTCCCCATTATCAATTAACTCAACTGGTCCTCCATTACTTAACTCTCAACTCTTCCCCCAAAAAATTCGTTCCTAGTTGATTGATTCTCAAGTCGTCCCCCTCCAATGATCTCGTCCCTGTCCAGAAACAAATAGAAACAAATATAAGAATAATAGTCATCAATAAGAAAATTGATTACTGTGTAGAGCACTTTGCATATATATATATATATGATGTGCTTTCTTAGTAGTGTATTAGTTTCACTACTGACATTCACTATGCTCTGAGAAATGCTGATATTGGTCTCGCCTTGATTCCTCCTGAACTGGTTGAGCGTACTTGAACGGACGTTATGGACGAATATGCTCCCGAGCACGCATCTGCAACCAAGTTCAATGATTACGTTGTTTCTACATACGTTGACAGCAGCTCTGCGCGCTATCACGAAAAAATGGGGATGCTACTGATGAGAATCTTGAGCTCCTTCTTAATGACCATAAGGGTGGATTGATCACTGATATGCAACTCGCGATTAAATGCGGACGTGCTTTGAAGACAAAACTTGTGAAATGATTTTTTTTGTTCTTTGTATTAATCTTGAATAAAACAGCTGACTGTTGAAAATCATCTGTTTATCAAATTAGTCACCAATTAGTAGCCATTGAATTGGGAGACGAATTGGCGACGAATCGAGAGTAACTCAGTGAGAGAATAAGAAAAAATATACTATAGTAAGAAAAGAGAACGAACAATCATCATAAGCATAAACATGAAGGACAGAGCACACAATAACTTCATTAATGATATATCGTTATATTCATTGCAAAGTTACATTGAGCATGATGAGTGGTAGATAGAAAACATTATGACTAGGATCGGATGAATATGTAGAAAAGATATTGTAACGATAAATAGGACTCTTACTAGTTGGTGTATTTAGACAAACTGGATAGTAGCCTGCCGCCATTCGCGGCAATGATGTTTATTCGCTTCTTCACAAATACAAAGTGTAACAGCTTCATACATAATACACGTATATATAGGAGAGAGATAGGAGAGAAAGATATTAGGATAATGTAAAGAGAACAGAAGGACGAGGCAGGAGAATCATTGACGCGTCTCATCAATATAGGCACACTCTCCCACTCAGATTAGACGCGCTCCTAAGCGTCTTTACAATATAAAAAAAAGGAAGATGGACAAGATATACGCGAAGAAAAAAAAGGAAGATGGACAAGATATACGCGAAGAAAAAAAGGAAAAGAACGACACAAACACATAATAACAAAAAAAACACAATAGCAGCTCATCATTCGAACTTTCTTTCACAGTGACGTGCAATACGCATGAGATAAACACATAAAATAGATAAAAATCAATTCGGGTGCAACCTTCACAGACAAACGGCATTATCATAATATACGAAGTTAACAATTTACGACATACAGTAGAAAAAAATAGCGCTCAACAATTTACGATGAACCAACTTTTTAGAACACTTTCTCTTCATTTTTTAAGCATTTACAGTAGCTACTTATGACTCGTAAATATATTGTTCACTGAATTTTGATGTTAGTTCAAATGTTTTTATACATTGTTAAATAAATAAACAAAAATCATGATTATTTCAACTGAAAACAATAATTACTGAGCTTTGTTTACTCGATATTTTCATCGCTATCATCATATAAATTGAAATTCTGTAGGAATTCTAAAGTTACAATATTTTTCAAAATTTATGAAAAACAAAATATTGATTTAAAGTAAATTGTGCTCATTGAAAATGAGAGGTAGAGAAATTTAAAAAATCAACGAACGTTGATCTCCCATCAATAATCATTTGCAGCTATTATAGTTAAGACATTAAGCACAGATAAAGTTTGTAAAATTGCTTTAAAATTTTTTTTTATCAAAGTTCGTAATACTTGTGATCATATTCGACATTTCATTTTTTTAGAAGAAAAGCTTCAATTGATTTTAACAATTATTCTTTGAACATATATATGACTTTGATATAAATTTTTTAACTAAAATAAATCGAAGAAAACTTCCGTTGAATTCAACTACAGGCAAATGATGATCGTGGTTCATTGTTGTATATTTTTCTCTTTTCAATCTACATTGATTATTATTTTTAGTTGCAGTACATGAACTTCGAAAACAATCATAAGACATCCATTGGAAGTAAAAAAAACTGCGCGAGAAGAATTAGCTATAGCAGAAGAAAATGACGAACCAATTGAAGAGAATCGTCTTTGTTGAGGCCAGTGAAATTAATTTGATTTTTATAACAATTAATTGTTTTTCAAAGGATTTATTTTTTACTCTTGTGGATAATGATTTTCTTTTAGCTACAGTCGAGCATGTTTTTCAGCGATAGCTGGCTTTTTGAATGTATGATGCAGCTTGTTTTCTTATTTTCAAAAATATATACAGATCAATGCATATATTTTGTCTTAGTAATATACACCTATAGATGAGATGTTTTCTTAGATTA